TTTGTACCTTTTTATGTCAGAGGGCTTTTTAAGATCATGACTGCAAGTCACCTCTGGCAGGAACTCAGTAAGAGCTGGACCGTTTCCTAAAGCTGCAGCACTGTCCAGCACAGCCAGCAGCTTCTGCATCATCTGATTTCGTCTGACAGTAATCTTCAGTTCTGAGTCTTCCTCTTTAGGGATCTCCTGTAACCAAACGAGAGTAAGACCTCTGTTTATTTACTTGGCTGTAACACCAAATGATAAATGATCTGTTTATGTTCACTCTTACCCTTAGGGCCTCCTTTAAAGCTACGGTTGCTTCCTCAAGAACTGTCTTTAGCTGTTTTCTCAGCGTCCTTTCCTCTTCAAGCTCTTTCCTCTGTCTCTTGGCTTCAGCTTTTGTTTGGTTCAGCACTTCTATAACTGTTGCGTGTTTCTTTCTGTAAGTACAGTGGTGGTAATGCAATTAAAATACACTGCAAAAAGTAAGGAAATTATTTAACATATAAGTGACTTCAGGAGTCCAACCTGAGGACATCAAGCTCTGTGCATACTGCAGAATGACTGTCTAGCAGCTCTTGGTGCTCCACTTTAAGTCTGGCACATTTCTCCACTTCAGACTGCATTTGCTTGCACTTTTCTGTCAATTGATGGACTACCTTGAGAAAGAGATATGTTTCATTTTTGCTCTAGGTTATATAATATGCACGTGTTTCCAAACAGCAAAAAAAGATTGCTTAAAAATGCATGAAAGAACAGATGTATAAACTGGCTACCTTTTGATTGGCAACATTCTTCTTGGTTATCTCATGTATCAGCGGTTCTGTAATTGCATTCTCAATTTTCAGTTGCTTTTCTCTTGCTCGCAGATCATCATTCTCCTTCAGCAGCTCCTTGGTTTTGTCTGAGAGCTGCTGAAGTTGAGCTGTGACAGAGAGGTTTTCTTGCATGGCCCTCTTTGTCGTCTCGGGCATCTTCTGGTCTGAAACCCACCGGAATTCAGCTGCTACGGCAGCAACATGTTGCAGCATTTCTTTCTTTAGCCTGTATCAGCCAAAGAGGTCAAATAAATAAAATGCAGTATTTCTCTTATTTTAAATGCATTTATTTGTTTACCAACTTTATATTTAAAATATACATTTAAAAAAATGTGTAAACATTCAAAATATTTAATATTGGTAACACAATAAGGTTCAATTTGTTAATAATCAGAATTACTCCTAAAGCATGTATTAATCTTAGTCAATGTTAATTTTAACATTTACTAATACGTTTTTAAAATCAAAAGTTGTATATGTTAGTATTATTGAATGGATCTGAATGAATATGAACTAATAATGAAAAGTTGTATTTTTATTAACCAGTGTCAGGTTAATAAATACTGTAACAAATGTTTTGTTCAATGTTAGTTATTATGCCTTAACTAATGTTAACTAATGGGACCTTATGGTTACCTTAATCTTTTCAAAGACTATTGAAGTTAAAAAATCTCCACAACAAAGTGAGTCCAAGGATTTGAATGCAGTACTATACGTATATACCAAGCAACAGATCCACTTATGTATTGAACAAATGCCTCTTTGTAAGGTCTTACAATGCAATCATTCACTGAAAATAGAAGATGAATGGAAACCAGTATCTCATTTGACATATAGGTAATTTATAATGTTCGGCTTCAGACCTCAAATAATGCACAAAATTTATGAAAAATAGTTGATCCAGTCATATTCATCTAAGAATGCACGTCCCATGACCTTGATCTCTGAACAATGAGTATGAACATGCTCACCTGTCATTGTCCAGTACAGCTTTTTTCTCCAGATTATAGATGTGTGCTTGATGTTCTTCTTTTTGCTTTTGAAGCTGCTCTTTCAAAGACCTGCGCTCAGCCATGAGCTTCTCTCTCTGCATAGAAAACTCCTCCAAAGACGCCAGCTTACCAGCTGAACACAAAAAGGTTAACACAATTTAATTAATGATTGGTTGAAAGGTGCATTTATTAATATCACGGTTAGTGATAACATATACGTTTTCATTTCATTCGATGTTTATTTTCGGTGTGAATGTGTGACTGCTCAAAAGCTTGTACCAAGCGCCATGTTCTCAGATGTGAGTTTTTCCTTATTTTCCTGAAGTTCATGTCTAAGCAGGCTCAGTTGTAACTCAAAGGACTCCCTCTCAGCCTCTTGGGCTTGCTGGTGTCTTGATAACGTCTCAGCCAGATCAGTCAGTTCATCCTCTTTTTGAGCCAGTGTGCGTTTCAGGTAGATAACTATGTCTTTCTTCTCTTTCTCCAAATTATTGATCTTAGAGTACAAGTCCTTTTCTTGAACCTCCAATTCATCACATTTATGTTGGTATCTGCAAGAAAAAAAAACAAATTCGCAGTTCGTAATAGCTCGTATGAGGCAAGTGCTTCCTGTTGAGGGTATGCCATGTTTGTTTAAGTATAGTGTCTGTTTAATCATTAACAGTAGATTATAATCCAAAGTCTATTTCATTTGAGTTTCCTCAAAGGCACGTAGCCTACATGAGCTACACGAATAAATAGGCTACTATGAACTAAAATCTTGTGGCCTATATGTTAATCCAAAGATACTGGAACTTCAATCAACTTGTCAAATCAACATTATCATTAGGTGAGTGTTTGCTGCGCACGTCCCCATTACTTTGGATTTACTAGGCTACATTAATGTACAAGTGCGTTTTTGTGTTTGAGTTGCTGAGTTTTTTTTCTCAGATAAATTCAGAATACTTCCCTTTTTACGTGATTTATCTCCGCTCCCTTTTCCATTCTTTTTGGGAGGCATTGAACGTTTACGTAATTTAAACGAAACAGTCTGAGAAATACAACATGCAAATGCAATTGTTTATTGTTGCCATGGCCGTGTGTCATGCGCTGCGCAGAAACGTGCGCGAGAGTACCCAGTGCTTTTTTTTTCTTCTTTTTCACAGTTTTTCAAAACCTAAAATAGTTGAAATATTATACAAAGAGCCTGAGGTTTGGGCATATTAAACTGTCGTTTCAGTTTCATTTTTGATTGAGTTGTAGCCCTTTGCTAATTCGAAATATTTCTCTGTTTGATATAAATGCTTTAGAAGCGTTAGTTTATGTTAACGTTAAAAAACTGAACCTTATTGATTATAATATATGGAGAGAGAGAGAGAGCTTTTTACTTTTTTACTTGGTTTGTAGGCTACTTGTCACATTTGTATGTGAAGAATTTGTTGTGCACTGAAAAAAATGTTTCATTCATCCAATTAAAAAAATGTAGGGTAATGATTCACATCTATATTTTTTTCATTGGCTCAAGTTAAAAAATATAGATGTGAATCATTACCTTAAATATTTTTAATTGGATGAATGAAACTTTTTTTTCAGTGTGGTACACCTTTTGTCTGTAATGCTATTCTATTTTTTGTAAATCTATTAATCAAAATTGGACTAATTTTTTTTTTTACAAATATTTTACATTTACTAATATTTGCCCACACATAAGCTACTGTTCTCTATGATAGATCACATGGGGTAAAAGGCCCCTTAGAACCAAAATCACTACTGCACTTTCCTAAACACATACTGAAACCAAATGTTTGGAATATTGTGGAGGACTGGATTTGTTGTGATGGATGTGCATAAATTAACTCTATTTTGTAATTCTGTTAAATTGTAAACTTTAAGATTTACACCATTCAATTACCAATAGCAGAGGTTATTATAAAAGATGTGCAATATTACAAATGCAAAAAGGTTTTGATCCAGGGAAAGAGATACTTTTTTTGCCCCAAAAGTTGTAAAAATAAATGTTTTTAAAGTCTTTAGACCTGTTTACCCTAATCAAGAATTCATTCATTTTTAATGATGTTAATATGGGTCAAATGTGACCTGAGGTTCACATGGGTGCAGTTTCCTAGGACCAGTTTAAAAACTGACTGTAGAAAAAGACTCATTTGTTCATTCTCGTTGTTCTCATTCTGAGATATTTCTGAGAATTTGCGTTAGGCTACACCATATACAGCCCACATGTCTGTTGCAATTTCCTAATTTGTCCTTGAGGAACTCCCTTTTTTATTTACAAAGCTATAAACAATCCATATGTTAAAATTAGTATATTTTTAACCGAATATCCGTATAAACATCTATGAGTTTTCATATGGCTGGCTAGTGGCTAGTAAATAAAGTTAACAGTGTCAGCCAGTGTTAGTTGTTGGTGGGAACAAATACCTCTATGAATTATCTTTAAGCAGAAGTCAGGAGTAGTCTGTATGGACTGAATAAAGCAAATCAGTATCTTAGCAGTAAGTTTTGATGGATGACGATTGTATTAGAGGTAAAGACGATTACAGTGAAATACCGGAGTCGTACATTAGCGTGCTAGTTCGTTATTATTAGTGTGCAAACAAACGTATGAGCGCTCTCTGATACTTTTTGCATGAGCACATTTCAGTTTGCTCGCATGTCTGGCAAGTGTTTTATAATGGACACTCACTGAAGAAGCTGATTTTATAGGAATTTGCTGCAGTCAGTGGTGTTTATAGATTATATGGGCATCAATACTCACTCTGTCATGTCGAACCGCCTTCAGATCACCACATTCGACAAGTTCAGAATGTTTTTATTTATTTATTTATTATGTTTTGCTCTGTTTAATAATTCTGAATGGATCCGTATATATTTATATCAGGTTAAGGCGACTTGTATAGTGGTCTGTTGGCCTCTCCGTGTGGTCCTGTTTGGTATTGCAGCTTGAATTGAAGTGATAGAAAATGCTCTATATATAAACAAATGTGACATTTTTTTTTTTTTCCTCAGTTTTTTTGCTGTTGCACTGTATAGGCTACCATATGACCCCTTTAAACAACTTTAACACATGGAACGAAAGTCAAATTCTATAGCAATGAGTTCTACACTGAGCTCTGAGGTGAGATATTACAAAATTTACTTTGAATGTTGAACTTTTAAGGTCTTCTGGTTAAGAAACTAGTCGTAGAAGCTGCACTCTGTATAGTAAAGGGTAAATTGTCACATGTTAGGGTAAAGTTACATTGTCAGTACGTCTTTTGTGTTTATAGTGATAGATGGTGCTTGTTTATGGATGTCTGAGAGGAGTAGAGAGGTTCGGGGAGGGGAGTCTGTTCATTATGTAACTGCCGTTTAGAAATGTGTTTTCGCGCTCAGCTTTCTGGGTCTGACATTCCTACGTTTCCATTCGGATTCGGTTAGACAACACAGCGAGAACAGATCACAAAGGACAACACAGAGAAACAACGTGCTCATCCTCATCCTGTCATATCGCATGCCGCACATGTGGAGGGTCTAACAAGTGTTTTAAAGAGAATGACTTTGGTGAGAATCCCTTTCTGGTAGGAGGCTATTTTATGGTTGTTAAAATGTTGTTTAGGAGACGTCTGACTAATAACGTACGCTACATTTTTGGTGTAAGGTGTTCAAGTGTCTTTTAATATGTTTATGCCATATACTTTTTTTGATATGCTGCCATTTTGTTTCATTTTCTTCTTGATTTCCCTGAGGAAAACAAGCGTGCTCTTCCTCATCCTGTCATGTCGAATGTCGTATTTGAGGAGGGTTTTTTTTTTTTTTTTACTGAGAACAAGTGAAAAGTCTGGGGAGTGTTCTGTAGAGGAGAATGACTTTCTGAGAATCCCTTGCTGGTGGGAGGTTTATGGTTGTTAAAAGGTTGTTTAGGAGACGTATGATTTATAATGTAAACATCAGAGTAAGGTGTTAAAAGTGTCTTCTAATATGTTTATTATGCCATATGTTTTGCTGTACTGAAATGTCATTTTTTTAATACGTGTTAATGTTATCTAGTTTTTCAGAAAATAAAAATTAACATCTGTAACATTTATTTGCAAACAAAATTGTGTTATTGATATTGAGAGATGTTTTTTCTTATTCCATATGGCAGATACTTTCTAAATAAAAATCTAACTAAATGTAGGGCCATTTATGCTTAAAACATAAAAAAATGCCATTGAGGTGAGAAAATTTCTATTTTTATACTGGAGAACAAAAAAAAACACTTGAGTTTTTTTTTTTTTTTTTTCAACCCAGAAGGCTATGTTCAGTACAGAACGTTAAATATCTGATTGTGAAACCGTGAGAGGGAACTGGTGTTGTAATCTCTAAGATATTCAGGCTGTCCGGCATGGAGGCTTCTTGTTTGGGAATGGACACAGCAGGCTGTAACTGGGTGTAGATCTGTCTGTGGTTCAGCAGTTAATGTACTGAACTGTGTAAATGCATCCCCTAATACACAGAGGATATAGTGGTCATGGGAAAGAGCAACATGTGTTTTTCCTGTGACAGTTTCCTGCCTTGGAGCCACCTGCCTGTCACTCTAATGTGAAGTTATGCTTATAAATAAGTCTTTCCACTCAGAAACAAACACATGAATCATAGCTCATTGCCACATTTTGACATTGGTGACCACACTGGTCTAATTTTATCACTTTTTCTGCATTTACAGGCATTCGGGTCTCATGGAAAACAGTGGCGTTTATGTAAAGGTATAGGCTACTGTGTGATACTTGTAATATATTAACTTGACAAGTTTCAGGGTGACATTGTGACATTATTAAGAGGAAACTTGTTCTTTCAGGTTTTAGTCTATATTTTTCAGTCATGCAGATCATGAAGAGATAGTTCACCCAAAAATGAAAATTCTGTCAACATTTACATTTAAAACCTGTTTGATTTTCTTTGTTCTGTGGAACACAAAAGAAGATATTTTGTAGAATGTTGATAACTAAACAGTTTCGGTTCACATTGACTTCCATTTTATGTTTTGTCCATACAACAGAAGTCATTTGGGAACGAATCTGTTTAGTTATCAACATTCTACAAAATATCTTCTTTTTGCCTTCCGCAGATGAAAGAAAGTCATACAGGTTTGGAATGACATGTGAGTGAATAAATAAATGACAGAATTTTAATTTTTTGGTGAACTGTCTCTTTAACTTTTGGTAAAAAATGATGAGCATTGACTATTAAGGATAAAATTATGAAGGTTATTTTGCTTTGCTGGTGACACAAAGTGTTAGTCACAAAGGAATCTGAGAGCTTAGCCATTAAACTCTAATTGAATTAGGATGGGTCACACAAAAGGGCTTGGAATGGTTGAGGATAAACAGGGTTACTGTAGGCAACCAACTGTGCCAAATGTTGCTGTTTATTTTAGAGCAACTTAAAATGGGCTCACATTTAAATAGAGATGTTTCACATTGTTCCACTGGTAGTTCTGTTGTAGCCTCTAGAACAAAAGCAGTATTTTCACCATTACTGTCGTTTGTCTTTCTGCACAATGGTTACTTTAAATGCAGGATATTTTCCCATCATTTAAGTTCACTTTTATCAGTTTTATTGCTCCAGATGAACATAAATATATTGGATAATAGGGCTAGTTGGTGCTTGTAAGACTCCACACAATGTTTTTAGCAATAATAGGTCTATATTACTGCAGTGATATATATTAGCCTATTACAAACTGTAAACACAATGATGTCACCTTAACAGCTGACCAGAACCACAATCTTGATATGAGCCATTAGATTCATAGGAAGTGTCTAATGTTTTCTTGATTCTTATGGTTTCTCATCATTGCTTTATTTACTTTAGTTTTCTAAAGAGACATGCCAGCTAAATTCCCCATCAGACAAACTAAAGCAGGAGTTGGAGAAAGAGCTGAAATTGAGCAGCTGTAACTTATCAAGTCATGGCTGGTATCATGGTCGCATACCTTGGGAGGTGAGATTGTAAATATCTTTAGGTACACTTATAGAAATAAAGGTTTTCCCAGAGATGCAATAGTAGAACCATTTTTGGTTCCCCAAATAACCTTTTAGTGAACATTTCTTAAATAACCATTTTTTTCTTCATGTGAAGAACATTTTAATAATCTAAGAACCTTTTTCCACTACAAAGAACCTTTTGAAAGATTCCATGGATTTTAAAGGTTGTTCTTGGAACCATAGAAGCCAATAAAGAACCTTTATTTTTAAGACTGTAATATGTAATATCCTCAAATATTTACAAGTTCTTGTAAATATGTGTTTCCTCATCTCAAAATACATATTGTTTGATTAATTAATAATGGCTTCTTACAGGTGTCTGAGTCTCTTGTGCAACGGGATGGGGATTTTCTAGTCCATGACTCCCTCACTAACACTGGAGAATATGTGTTAACCTGCTGCTGGAACCAGAAAGCTCTTCATTTCCTCATCCACAAGGTTCTGCTCAGATCTTATGACACATTTATTCGAGCCCAGTACATTCTGGAGGAGGAAACGTTTGATTCTGTGCCAGCTCTGGTTCATTCCTATGTTGGAAATAAAAGGCCTCTTACAAAGCAGAGTGGTGCCTACATTTACTCACCAGTTAATAGGACATTTCCACTAAGATACCTAGAAACCATGTTTGGGCTGCCAAGTGTGGAGAACAGCCCAGTAAGCTCACCAACCAGACAGAAGGGAAGCCAAAAGAAAAGGGAAAGCATAACTGTGACAGAGGCTTTGGAAATTGAGCTGATAAGACCACAGAGGTGAGTTTTATGATAGAAATTGTTCACAAAATCATAAATGGTTGATATTAAAAGTGAAGTGTGTCATTTCTGAGCCTTAAGCATCAACAAACAAAAATAGTAACTGCAATTGGTCAGTTAAACACATCCCACATCCTGTTGGTTGAGCTATCTTTGTTGTTGTTGGGCTGGTCAGGGTGCTTAAACAAACAATGTTTAATAGCGACACAGATCCACAGACTGTTTACAATTTTGGGAAAATATGCCATCCTGTGATGGCAAAGCTGAATTGAACAGTGCTGTTTTTGCTTTTTAATATTTTTGTGGAAATCATAATACACTACCATTCAAAAGCTTGGGGTAAAAAAAATACTTTTATTCATAAATGACGCATTAAATTGATAAAAAGTGTCAGTAAAGACAGCGATTTTAAAGAACTGCTGTTCATTTGAAAATTTCATAAATCAAAGAACCCTGAAAAAAATGTATCACGGTCTCCACGAAAACATTAATCATCAAAAACATTGATAATAATAAGAACCAGATAATAAATGAGCATATTAGAATCGGCATTTTAGAATGATTTCTTAAGGATCATGTGACAGTGAAGACTGGAGTAATGGCTGCTGAAAAATGTTGTCTTTGCTTTGTCATGGAACATGGATCTAAATGCAGGTAGTTTTAATGACAAAAGAAGAACAAACAGTAAACCAAAAACACTAGGAACAAAGAACCAAAACACGAGCAGAACAGCACCATTACATACAACAACTGACAAGGCACAAGGGGAACACAGGGGCTATTTATACACAGGAGAACAAAAGGGACCAATGAGTTGCTATGGGAACTAACAAGCAGATGGGTGTGGTCCAAAGAGTAGCTATGACAACTAATGAGAGGAACTATGGAGACAAACAAGGCACACAGCAAGACAGGGACAGAACACACACAGGGAACATGTAACATAGCCCCCCACCTAGGGAGTGGATACTACACTCCAAACAAAACAGAAAACACACAACAAAATGTCCAGGAGGGTGGAGGAGTGGAGGCGAAACAGGGAGGAGATGGCAGATCTGAAGACCATGGTGGAGGCGGAACCAGCGGATCAGGTGGCTGGGCAGAGCTGAAAACCAGGGCAGAGTTGGCGGATCAGGCGGCCAGGGCAGAATAAGCAGAGCAGAAGACCACCAAGGCAGGGCAGGCAGAGCTGGTGACCACCACGGCAGCACAGACGGAGCAGGAGACCACCACGGCAGTGCAGGACACCACCATGATGGATCAGGCAGAAGTCGCACAGAAAGCACAGAGCCACCAAGGCAGGGCAGGCAGAGCTGGTGACCACCACGGCAGCACAGACGGAGCAGGAGACCACCACGGCAGTGCAGGACACCACCATGATGGATCAGGCAGAAGTCGCACAGAAAGCACAGAGTGGTTGGTAACGGCCTCTGTGGTCATATCAAAACAGGCAGAGTGTTCAGAAACGGCCTCCATGGCCAAAACAGGACAGGGAGAGAGTTCAGAGACGACCTACGTGGTTGTGACAGGACAGACAGAGAGCTCAGGGATGGTCACCACCTCCTCGGGAGTTTCTGTAGCAGTAGCAGTCGCAGTCGCAGTCGCCGCTGCCTCTTGGAAATCTGTGGCAGTTGCCACTGCCTCGGGAGGTTCTGTATTGGTCACCGCCGCCTCGGGAGATTCTGCAGTGGTTGTCACCAACTCGGGAGGTTCTGTAGCGGTCACCGCTGCCTCTGGAGAAGTGTGTATGGCCCAGACACTCAAAATAGTGCCTGCCATAACTGGAAGGGCAGCAGATGGTGGAAGAACCACTGAGGCCACCAGAATAGAGAGCGTGGAGGACGCCAGGATGCCAGCCGCTCACACTGACATCAGTGGTGGGTCTGCCAAACTGGAAGCCAGTCTGAAATGCCTAGGGATCACCCTTGTAGCCTCAGATGTGACGGAAAAACTGGAAACATCCGGAAACACTGGTGTGGTGTCCATGACGGCTGACTCTAGTGTGATGTCCATGATGGCTGGAGACTCTGGGGTGGCGGCTACTTGGACCAACATCAATGGAGGGTCCGCCACACTTGACGCCAGTCTCGTCCAGTGGCTGGCAGGCAGGCTGATAAAATAAGTGGCGGTCCAAGCTCCTCATCCGCCGAAGCTTGAGGAGCATAGCCCCCAAATACCACCCCCCCCTTTAGGGGACGGATCCTCCTCCACCTCCCCCACGGTAAAGGGGAATCCACCCAGTTGAAGAGCGTGCGCCACAAATTGCTGAAAAGTACCTCGAGGACCAACATAGGATAATTGTGTGTGTAGTGGTTCATTAAATCCAGCATGATAAAAGGTTATGTCTGGAATTGTCCGGAAAGTGTGTGTGGTAGGCTAGGTTCAAAAACTCTGCAAAACAAGAACAAACAATAAAACAAAATACTATTTTTACTGTATTTTTGATTTTAAAAAATGCAGCCTCTGTGAGCATAAGAGGCTTCTGTCAAAAACATATTAAAAAAAAAATTGTACATAAATCTCATCTTGTAATAGATGAGATATGTTTTGTTTTAATAGCTGATTGTCTCCTGTACTGTATTCTACAGTGATGTTGTGAGGAGTTTTGATGGCACCATGGAGCAGCGCCTTGTAGTGTCAACTTCCCCTGTATTAATGAGCACATGTAAGATTAATTTCCTATGAAATCAAATAAAACCAGAAAATCTGAGAATAACATTGTGACTGTTCATCTGCTTTTGTCTCCAGTGGCCAGGCGGCGACGAAGCCCCTCCGAAAACAGGAAGTTTGTAATAGTCCCTTCATCACCTGTTCTCCAAAAGTCCAGTGAGATACGGCTTTGTTCATCTCCCCCTGAAAACACTCTCATCTATTTGGAACCAACAGTACATCTTCTGTCCTCCATGACACATTCCCATCAAAATTACAGAGAAGCAAACCATCCTCAAAATGACCCAGTGATTTCTCAAGCTGACCCTGTGGCTACAAATCATCCCTTTTTAAGACATGAGATGCAGACTTTGGATTGCAGAGAGGAGTATGATGAGGAGTATTTAGTGCCTTTCACCATGGACACAGTTTCCTGTTTCAGACCTAGTATGTACCAGTCACCACAGATGCCCCCAGAAAATAAACCTTTGGAGACCATAATACTGAAAAAAGTGAAGGACATCCTGTTTGAAGTTGATATAAAGACAATGGCAATGCATATCACCAAAGTTGACTGCATGGTAAGTTTGATTGTATAAAGTATAAATGTTTGGAGATTAGATTACTTTTCTACTTACTTAGAGCTGCACAATTAATAGAAATAAACCCGAAATCACAATATGGCTTAGTGTAATTATCAAGTTGCATATGCATATATGATGTCATATATGCATATGTGCTGCATGTTTCAGAGTGAAGCATGTTAATTTACACACAACAAGCTTATGATTTAATGTTTTCAGTGTTTTTCCTTTAATACTTTCTATTTTACAGTGAAATATTAATATCTTATTTTGTTTATTATTATTATTATTATTAATCAGGATCTTCTGAACGTTTAAAAATGTTCTTTTGTTCAAGTATATTATGTACCGCAAAGAAGACATTTGTGCACTTGAATAACAAGATCACTCATCTTCACTCTGCAGGTTGCTCAAATTCTGGATACTTCTGATGATATGATGAAAGGGATGGGAGTGAGTTCAGGATTGGAGCTACTTACCCTCCCACATGGACATCATCTCCGTCAAGATCTGCTTGAAAGGTTGGTTACCCCTACTTTGTCCAATAAATTCTTCCTGTGAGATGACAACTTCTACATTACATGACACCAAATAACTCTTTCTTGCCCCTTAGGTTCCACACCATGTCCATAATGCTGGCTGTTCAGCTGCTGGGCTGCACGGGCAGTGCTGATGAAAGAGCCACCCTGCTGCACAGAGCCATCTGCCTGGCCTCTGAACTCAAGAGCTGTTTAGGCAATTTGTTTGGCTTTGCCACAGTTATGAAATGCCTTGAATTACCACAGGTTAGGAAGACTGATGAAAGCGTTTCTCTTGAACTATGAGGAAAAAGTTTCGCAGAATTTTTTTAATGAATAAAAACATGTAAATAAATAACATTTGATAATAATTACATTTGTTTATAATGTTCTGATCAATCAGTCTTCTCCTTTTTAGATTGCCCGCTTGAATGAGACATGGACAGTTTTACGTCAGAAGTACACAGAAAGTGCTGTTCTTTATGAGAAAACCCTTAGACCCTCAATGAGGATGATGAATGACGGAGAAGGTATTCATTCACACGTTCTAATTTATTCATGTTCTGTCTGTTACACAAAGTTGCTTTAAATATTGTGTTTGCTTACCATTTCAAATTCTCCTCTGACAACTTCAAACTCTCTTTCAGAGATAAGTAGATCCACAGACACAGCTTTTCCCCATGTGCTCCCTCTGCTGTCCTTTCTTGAAAGAAATGTTGTGGCTCTTGAGGAGTCAGAGTCATGGGAAAGTGCAGACACTGGAGTGGCCATGGTCTTGAGTCATCTGGATGCTGCACGTACGATTGCGTGCAATGGGAGGATCTTCAGTGCAAATGCAGAGACCAAACTGCAGGGTAATGGCTTTATAACATGAACAATTTCTAATGGGTACAGAATTTTAGGACTATTTAGTATATTTACACTTTCATAAAGAAAATAAAGGGTTGCATTTATTAAACCCTGTCCACTTTAAAGTCAAGGTATACAATAATAAGGTAAAAATAAGCATAAAATGTGCATGCTATAAATGAAATGTCATTCAATTAACATCCAGTGAACATAAAGGTTATGTTTTAGGTCAGGTGTATATTATGTTACTTATTTCTGATTTTTTCATTTGCAGGATTTCAGGAGGAAGCAGATGTTCGGGAGGTCTTCCTCACAGAGTTTCAGATGCGTCTCCTGTGGGGAAGCCGTGGAGTGGAAAGAAATAAAGATGAACGTTATTCAAAGTTTAATGAAGTGCTAACAGCTCTGTCCAACAGGCTTGAGCTTTCTAACTCACCAAAATGATAGAAGGGATGACCGCTAGTCGCATACTTTTTTCAGAATATCCATGTTTTATGAATTTATTTACAGTTACATCGTTTTGTTTTTATCATAGGTTTATAGAGGGGGTGGATGTCTGCCACTGTATATAAACTAAACACATCCTGCAATTTTAACTTATTTGATTTGCAATGTTATTTTTATGATATTTTTGTTTTATATAATGTGATATAGGAAATAACTTTAACTCTGCTAATATTGTTAACTTTGAACTCTGCAGTATGTGTTTAATTGCACTGTTATTGGTTCATATAATCAATGACCAAATAATGGGTAATATTTACTCATTGGTACACGTTTTGCAGATTTTAATTGTATATATTTAACTGTACTATTTTATACTTACATCATTTATAAATAAATTTAGAGTTGATTTACTTTGACTCTCTTCTGTTGAATTTACTGTGGTGTATGTTTCCAAGTGAAATGTTTGTTTATCTGATTTATTGCCAAGCTACTGATTTGAAATTGTGGGGTATGTACTTTGATACCAGTCACCACATCATAGTCAAGAAAATCTTGGGTCAAGTGAATCTCTTTTATGCCTAATTTATTTAAACATCATTGATTCAGAATCATTTCTCACTCATTATCCCCTATGCATATTTATTGTTTAAGAACTTTTACTTTTAACGTGCTGATCATGACACTCCACAGGACACAGGATGTTTGTTTATTTATTTATTTATTTATTTTTAACGTAGTATAAAGATACAAACTGTGTACTAGCACTAGGCTAGTATTTCTGCACTAGTAGACTGTACTTAGTAGCCTACTAGTAGTATGGTCTAGGGATATCCTATTCGTGCTAGAATGTGATATTTTAACAAAGTTTATCTGACACGTTACAAACTATCAAACTATCTAACAGTTCGTTTATGCTTTTATGGGGCGAAAGGTTACTTAAATGGTACTGGAAATATGTTTGCCGCTTGATTTACCACTGGCAATACGAAGAATGTATCTAATAGCGTTTTATTAAAACGTGTGAAATAATTCTGCAAAGAGATGCAAATACAGTTTGTAAATGCAAATTATAATTAGGTTCTAAATTATGTTTTTATTAGATGAATCATGACTGCAAATTTAAAATGGAACTGGGACACGTAAAATTCAAATTAATACCCTTATAAAACTTAAATAAAACTTATTTGAAAAGAAAAACATTTCAGACGGAATTACGCAATTACGTCACGACGTAAAAGATTCAGTGAATTGTCGAGAATTGTCCGTTCTACTCGAACTGCTCGAAAGAACCGATTCGCGGGAAATGTGTGAAATCAGTTTGTTGCCCTCTAGTGTCTGTGGCGCTGTAGTAGTTCTGCTTCCGCCATCCAACTCATCTTGGAGCTGTGCTCCGAGGCTATCAACAATGATATTTATACTTATTTTAATTTATTGTACGTCCTTAGGTACCGGTTTTGATATGAAGTCTATTTTTTGTTCAATATCTGACAGCTGCGACTGTGACTTCAAACCAGACATAAAAGGTAAGGTGAATGGGATATTAATCAGCATGTAGACAGTTAGCGTTAGCCTCCGTAGTACTCAGTGGGCTTTTTCCAGCTTCAGCAGATGATTTCTTTTAAGAAAAAATAAGTCACTCTGTAAACTCTGTATCACACTGTAAACAAACGAAATGCTACATAGTTCACAGTGTGTGTCTGCAGCGGTGTACGTTTATAGAGATTTTTTGATTTTGAGATACAATCATTCTGATGTTGGCTTCCTTATATGACTTGCTTCTGTTTATAAATAATTTTTAATATCATACCAAAGTGCACATAATTATATACATATCAATTTAGCTGTGCAAGTTCTAACACTAGAGAGGTACTGACTGTACATAAATATTTCAAAGAGTAACATTTTCACATAACAATAAATGCACCAATAAAATGAAAATTAAACATTATGACTGACATTGTGATGAAGAGTATAACAGTCGTGGCAGTCGTATAACTGAGATCATATCTTATAAGTTAGTACTTAATCATTGTGTTTGTGTTTATTCATAACATCTTATCTACATACTTGGTAATCATAAACCAACTTAATATGAGGAGATAACAGTAAATATCTCATGAAACAAACTTCTGCTTTGACATGTGGTTGTTTTTCTCTATATTTGGAGCTTTTAATGTATTGGTTTGTCATTATGTCATACAGTATATCTGTCAAAGATCTTGTGACAGCTGTTCATGCTCCATTGTAACAGCTGTGAGTAACAGCAAGCTTTTATTCACAAACCCCTTCAGTCACCCCGACTGTGCCTGTGTTTTTACAGGTTTAGAGTGGGACCTTTATAAAAACCTTTATGGTCAACATATGGCTCAGGATATTGTCTCGGAAACAGTGGTGAATTTTTTACAGAATGAAAACCCCGATAGACCACTAGTGCTGTCATTCCATGGAGCATCTGGGACTGGAAAAAGTCTGGTCAGCTCTATGATTGGACGACACATCTACGGTACAGCAATGGGCAGTTCATACATCCATCAGTTTGTTCCCACTTTACACTTTCCTTCAGCTGACAGGGTGCAACAATACAGGGTATGTGTATGTTTACTGATATTAACACAAATCTTGTGCAGTTTAATATTTGCGTCCTGGATGAATACAGTTTTTTATTAATTGTTTATTTGTTTGTGCACAGTCAGATCTAAAACGCTGGGTCGAGGGAAACCTCACAGCTTGTGCTCGCTCAATCTTCATCTTTGATGAGATGGAGAAAATGCCTCCTGGTGTGATCGATGTTTTAGAACCGCATTTAGGCCCCTTTCATGTTCTGTTCCAGACGAACTACCGTAAAGCAATTTATATATTTATCAGGTAAGTCTGAATGACTCCTTAATGGAATAATATTTTATATGTTTATTATGGATAAGTTTCCATCCTTCAGGGCAATATAAAATGTCAAAGCAAGGTAGGGCTGAAATGATTAGTCGACATTATCGACACCATTGACAATAAAAAATTGTTGACTAGTCGTTTGATCTCATATGACCTAATGTAAGAACCTGCAATAATGTGGTTTGACCAGTGTGGCGCTGTAGCGCAAGACAGTAATTCAGCCCTCCTGGATGCAATTCAAAAGAAGAAGACACAGCGCTTCAGTTCATAGCAAACGCAGCCAAACCTGAAGCTGCTGAGCGGCGTTTGGATGATTATGTAAATATATGCTGCACACTTTCCTCTCAATAACAAAATAAACACAACAAAAACTAACAGCAGTGTGAAAGCAGCAGTTAAGAACGCATCTGATTACAGCGATGTGGATGTTATACGAGCTCTGCAGTTTAGTACTCCAGTAAAGTCCAGTCATGTCACGTTTATTTATATAACTTAGTACTTTATACAATAGATAGCCTTAAATCAAGCAGCTTTACAGTATTAAACATGAAAAACCAGTCAGTGTCGCTTTCAGTTAGAATTACAACTTGATTTGCTGTTATAAAACGGCTCTCCAGTGTGGAGCTAGTCTCAGCCTCAGACGTCACGCCCACGGACCGTTGGCTGAACGTCTGATGCATTGCATATGGCACACAAAAGTGGAAACACTTCAGGAGTTTCAAAGTCGTCATCGGATTGGTTGAATTATACAGGATTTCCGGGAGACGTGTGTGTCGCGTTCTTTAACGTTCTGCCTGGAAACAAAGATGCCGTGACGCCAAACCCGCTCGCGAAAGAAGAAAGCCGTCGTGTTTACAACTGTGACGACGAGTGCTTATCAGGATCAACTAAACGCTGGATTTTCAAAAGTATGTGAGATATTTAAAGTTCGCGGCATAGAATCTTTAAAATACGTCCGCGAGTTTTACACACTGGTCTTTTATTGTGGCGAAGAACATACTTTTCAGAAGCCTGACATTTCTGTTTAAAATATCCTTTTTTTATTGATCTTATTTAATATTCTAATTTTCTGAGACACTGAACTTTGGGTTTTCATTATCTGTAAGCCATAATCATCAAAATTTCAAGAAATAAAGGCTTGAAATATTTCACTCTATGAGATTATGTTGTGAATAAAATAGTTTATCAAAAAATAAAACGCCTTATCACTTACCTTTATTTTGTTTCTTATCCGTATGACTTACAAAAGGAGATGTTAGGCAGAATGTGTCATTCAGTTACTTTTTCATATAGCTAATTAAATGGTGAATAAGAGAGTTTCTCTGCCATCTCATTTTGTGTTCCAAATATATTTATTTGTATAAATTAATTGTATAATTGTAATTGCATATGACTTTCAAAAGCTGAAGTGATTACCTTCATTTATTTGTTAGAATATGTATAACTAAATATTTTAACTAATTGCAAAAGCTGAATAATCAATAAATGTCTACTGATTAATCAGTGAAATAATCGATGATTAATCGTTCCAATAATCGTTAGATTTATCGATTATCAAAATAATTGTTTGTTGCAGCCCTAAAGCAAGAAATTTCAAGTATTAAAGGGATAGTCCAAACAATTCTGTCATCATGTCCTCAGCTTCGTGTCGATCCAAACCCTCATGGCTTTGGATAATCTTGATCAATCTGAGAGATTTCTGTCCCTCCATTGAAAGTCCAGGTAACCAAAATTTAGGAGATCCAAAAACATCATATAGGCTTTGTAAAACGAATCCATATGATTTGAGCGTTTTAATTCAAAAGAGATATAGTCGCTTTGTATTAAATTACTCGATTCATATGGATTTCCTTTACAATGACTTTATGACCTTTTTTGGATCAAGTTTTGGTTACTTGGACTATCCATGGAGGGACAGATGTTTTTTTTTTCAGTACTGTAGGTCAGGAGGTAATTAACAAGGTTGCGCTGGAGAGCCGTCAGGCAGGTAGAGATCGAGAGGACATTCTCCCTAAAGAGCTGGAGGACAGTATTGCTGATGCAGTGTACAACAACAAGAACAGTGAGTGTCGTAGACCTTCATTTTAATCATGTTAATAGTAGCTGCTAACCTTAGTACTTAATATATGTTGCACAATTTTCCTTTGTTAAGTCAATCTAATCTGTGGGTGAACTTTGTTTCCCAGGTGGGTTCTACCACTCCAGAATAATTACAGAAAAGCTTATCACTCGTTTTGTGCCTTTTCTTCCCTTGCTGCGGCGCCACGTGGAGCGCTGTGCCCAGCGGGAGCTCTGCCAGCGTGGGGAGTGTCAGCGTGCAGATGTGGCTTTGTCGGTAGGAGGCGCCATTACTTACACACCAAATGACAGCCAATACTTCTCCAGCACTGGCTGCAAATTAGTACCTGCAAAAGTTAACCTGTTCCTTTGAGGGTCAAAGTAAAATCCCTTAAGGAACTTAACAGCAACTCAGAGCTCTTTGGGTGAAGGAACTACAGAGTAAAGCTGCCTGAATTTGGAATTTGGGGACACTTGTATGTTTCATCCATATAGATGAATTCTGATGAAGAATGAGCAGGGTGCGATAAATATTGCTAGCTCTGGCTTTGCTGGTTTTAATCAAGCAGGAATAAGTCTGTTGCTAGTTAATAAAAAGGACAGATTCACAGAGCCGGCCTCAGTTCTCTGGGCCACTGAAACAACCTACAACACCCTCAGTTTCAGTGTGCAGGTAACTACAAATGACGTGGTCTCAGAACTTTATTTTATCATGGGATATTAATTTAAAAATGGAACTAAGTGCTGTATTTTTGATGCCGACCACAGGGTGGCAGCAGTGCCTACTTGAAGCAAGTTTTTTTTTTTGTCCCACAATAACATTATTGTTTTTTCCATTTTTAAAAATCGTATTAAATATGTAAATGATGTATAATAGCTTTATTTTAGTATTTAAATAGTTACTCTTTTTAAACCAGACAAATCAGTAAGTTTCTACAGCTCTTTCAGTCTTTCAGTACAATGTAAATAAGGATGTCTTAAAGCAACAGTTCACCCAAAATTGTAATTTTGTCATCATTTGCTCACCCTCATGTCATTCCAGACGAAAAAGAAGATATTTTGATAAGTGCCTTTTTTGTTACCAAAATTCTTATTTATTTATTTTTTTCAGCAGGAAGTCATACAGCTTTGCAACAACATGAGGGAGAGTGAACGATGACCTAATTTCCATTTTTGAGTGAACCTTATGAAAATAAAATCAGTGAAAATATTTTGTGGTACCACATCAAAGTAAAGAAATAATTTAATACACAATTCTGTTTTCTTATTCTTACCTTTTTTTTTTTCTTTGTCCTTCCTATATAAAGTCTAAAATGGTTAGAACAAACATTCAGTTCCTTTATTTAATTTAAAACACTAAAGGGAAAATAAAAGATAATTTATTCTTGAAGTGCCCTGATCTAAATAGAAATGGAATCTAACCGTATCCAATTCCAGTGTTATTAATTGTTATTTACATTGTACAGTTATTTGGTACATTAATTTAGAATAGTTTGCAATGCAATGTAAATAATGTTTTAAAGGTTAAACTATTTTCTTCATGCATTTTCTATTCATTGATCAGCCATATCCGTCTTAACAGTGTTTGTAGTTTGTATTGTCTTTTTTTATTTAAATTGAAACGTACAGTAATTCAAAATGAAATGAAGGTGCACTTCATAACTGCACATCAAAGGCATAACAATAAAATCAAGTTTTTGTCAGAAATCATTTTATTAACTTGTGCATTTGCCCTTTGAAATCCACACAATCATTTTTCACTTATTGTCTTGTGTATCATGAGTTAAACTGCGCTTTTCATATATTTCCAACCCTGTTTATGATCATTCCAAGTCCCTGACTGTGTGAACACGTAACTGTTGAACATGGACAGAATGAAACAAAGCCCCCCAACTCCCTCTGACAGCCTGTCTTCCTCCACTTACCAAAGGATATTAAATGTTTCTCAGCAGGAACTGTTAGCAGGTGTTAGGTGGTCTGTTGAAGGACACAGTGACTGTGAGCTGGACATTAAGCCCTTTGAGACCATGTTGAATTTTAGTGGATAAGCTCTCAAAGCTTTCCTTACCATTTCACCTGCACACAAAGCACTAATACCCACTTTGATGACTTTATCTGTCTCATCCCAGTATTCCAAGAGGAAGTGTAGCGACAAGGCCCTCACCTTTGGTGGTGTCAAAGGAAGGATTTTCAACTGTTACAAAAAGCAACAGGATAATAACAGTCTGACCCACCTCCCTCCCCCAAACCTCTGCTCTTAGCTTGACCCCTGTGCTCCCGTTCACACGCTCTCCAAGGTGGCTGCCCTCGCTTGGCCACTGGCCCCTTCGGACACCTCTCCATTCTGTCCTAAATCAGATCTAAAACGGCACAACATCACCCCCTTGGTCCCCTCTGGCCTGGCTACAATGACCCCCCCACCCACCCCCCCTCAACATCTGTGAGCGCCCCTCTGTCTCCTCATTTTCTCTTTAACCACCCCATTATTGGCTGTCTTTCACTTGTAAATGTGGCCAGCCACAGTGCTGATGAGGCTTTCATCTGCATGGCCCGGGTCAGGCCGGAGTTAGCGGAGGATGCGGCGGGCCTTGTGTGGCCCACAGATGAAAAACAATCAGCACACTGAGCAAAGTCCTTTTGAGGTGCATTCAGCTGAGACGCTCGGCTAAACCAACTTTTTGCCTCAGCTGTGTGGCTGTGCATCCGTTACTCGGTTGTGTTTTGTGTGGTTGTTTCTTATACTGACGTTATTAACAATATGCTAAACAGTGTTCTAATATTAGAAATTCACAACCTAAAAACAAATGGTTTGGCTCAACAACAAAAATACAATTAACACAACAGTTTGCATCAATTTTTTTGAGTTACGACAGCTTCTCGTGAAATGATACTTAATCAACAAACTTCATTTGTAGCATAAAAAAAAGTTTTATGTTCATTACTCAAAAAAAATTAGTTGAGTGGTGATCCCAGAACGAATTAATCATATCTATTTCAGTTAAAATCAACAGCTAGCATAACACATTCTAAATGTAATTTATTTAGCATGTAAATTTAATGAACAAGTAAGATATTTACCACTTCAACAGAAACACTTTTAATATTTTAATATTAAAAATATCAGACACAACAGCATTAAACAGGTTTTTAAAGTACACACTAAATAACAATTAATTTCAACATTTATACTCTTTGTGCTAAGCATCCCAGCTAACAAAATTGTGTTCTAAGAATGTTTTGCTCAATGTTATTTTAGTATCATTGAGATTATAGTTTTATTCATTTTTAATCTGTTTTTAGTTTTATATTTTCATTTCAGGTAAAGTTTTAGTAACTTTGTTGTGTGTTGTTGTCATTTTTAGTAGTTTAGGGTTTGTTTATTAATAGATGCCCTTATAGTTTTTATAAATTTTTATTTCAGTTTTAATTATTTTAGTGCATCAAGTTAAACTAAATTGTAATGTGAAATATTGATTTGGCAGCTATAGCTGAAATAAAAAAAATTATATATATTTTATTTTATTTCAGATATTTATTTATTCTTTTAATTTTAGTGAACGTGCTAAATAACTGTGCTGCTAATGTTCCCATTAAGTTATGAAAACATTATTTCTGAATGTACTCTAAATGTTCAAAAATGTACCTTTTAAAAAATGTTTTTCTTGGCAAAGCAAAAACATTAAGGGAACGCTCCATTTTAGAATTTTGCAAACATTATGGGAACATTACTTTTGTATGTTGTCTGAACGTTCAGAGACAAGTAGCACTTATTAATATTTTATTAACTTTATATGAACATCCAACATTCCATGAACAATATATAAATAATGTTTATGTGCTAACATTCTGTTATGTGCTAACAGCATGAGAATGTTATTAAAGACCTCATAACTTTGAACAATCTATTAAGGTTACTGAAAGAACATTTGTACATAACTTAGAGAGAACCTTGCAAAAAAATAAAATAAAATCAGTTAACGCCGAGATTTCAGTTTAACTTACACACAGTATTAAGTTTATTGATGTAATGATCAAGTTTGTGTCACCAGAATTCATCAAAGTAATGTTTGCAACTTGTTTGCAAGGTTTAAGTAAATCAATAAATTCAAATTTTTTTCTTTATGCATGCATGCATGCATTTCTTTAGGTTGTGGTAACGGGTCCCCTGAATGTCTTTTTAGAGTGCGGTTTTATCATACTAAACGTTTAAGATGTTAATTACGCAAATGCATTTCACTTTCTGTCATCCCGATTTCAAAAGTCAATATTTGCATCATATCATGCTCTTGTGAGATTACTTGTGGACTGTGTGTCTCTTCATCTCTGTTCTCACCCAAACAATGGGTGGTTACCGCAGCAATGGAGTCTCCAGGACAACAGGTGAACAAAGAGCGAGAGGAGGGGGGAATGCTGGGAGAGGGTTGGAGGGGGCACCAGGGATGCCCTTGGCCTCTGTGTGGTCAGTGGGGGACATGGGCCTCTGGATGATCTATAAGAAAATGTCTGTCCAAAATCTGTCCGTCTTTGCAATCTTAAAATGATTGATAATCCTCTAACTTACTAAGACTCTGATGCTGACACTGTCAAGTCTTCCCTCCACATGATGTATGGCCTCATTTGCTTCCATGTGAGTTGCAATGATAAGTGCAAATTCCACTAACATATAGTCTTTCATATCAGCTCAGTGACTCTATTCTGAAACTAGGGACGTAAACCTCACACAGCAGTGCAAGGAGAGTCAGGAGTGTCTTTAGGACCAATGGAATTCATTCAGATATAAGAAACCGTTTATGATTTTGTAACAATTTAAATGAGATTATTTATGTTTAGCAGGCATTCATTGTAGCAGAAGAATTTCATCAATTTCAGTGGAAAGATTGAAATAAACACATCTGCACTAGAAGAAATGCTTTACTAAAGAACTACTGAATTAATAAAAATAAAAAAAAGTACTTGTGCTGAACAGGCTAATATGTAGGCTATAATATTAGGGATTTTTCTAAATTATGACTATTAGGAATAGAGCAGTCCATGGCTGCTACAAGTTTTATTTTTTTATAAACAAAACCTATATTTTATTTTCTATTTAAACTGTTTTGAGAATTTTATTATTTTTTATATTTTATTTTTACTTATTTTAATGTCAAGTGTCCTTTTTAAAAGGTCTTACAATAAACAAGAAAATATTGCTATGATATTTATGAATTTTTCATTGTAACGTTATGGAACCAAATCTAAGAAAACGGTTTAAATTACCCTTAAACTATTTAACGTATTGTACTAGCTTTTCAAAAATGCATTTCAGCAGTTGAACAAATGCACAGATCTCATATGGAAAGTGAAAAAAAAATGAAAGTCTAATGCAAATGGACAACAACTATGTATTCTTTTAATGCTCTGCTCGTGCTGATTTTAAAAGATCAAAAGACCTGACCTGTGTGTAAATCTAATCTTGTTTAATCCTATTGGATTAACACGCCATTTCCTTGTTATCCTAAAGTCTGTAGCAGACACCTCAAACACTGAGAAGAAATCTGACAAAATCGTAAAATCCCGTTAACTCATTTTAAACGAGTCTAACAGAAACAATACAGTCACAAATACAAACTTAAGCTCAATCGACAATTCAATTGATTAACACATTACTTTGATAAACATTTTTCGTTCTGCTCTACTAAACAAAAATGCATATAATTATAGAGGTAAAATCTATTTTTGTGACAAATATGTATTATATTACTTAAAAAAAACATCTTATGATATATTGCTGAATTTACAGTATCTTAGGTTAAATTTAAGATATGTTATGTAAAAGGTCCAATCAAAACAAACCTAACAAACATAAATCTGATGTGAAATTAAAACGTAGCTATAATAGTAAAACAAACAATTAATCATATACATCATTTTATGCCGTTTTTACGTGTCATGAATTTAACGTTCAAGCTAAACCATTTTCTATTGATAATTCAACACATTACCGCATGATAACGAAAAACAACACACATATTTTTAATTGATTAGAATTGAATGCCTATT